GCACGGTGCAGCTGTGACAGTTTCTCTTCTGCTTTTCCCGATTCCTGGGACGTTCAAGAACTACTGGTGTCTGTTTGAAAAAAAGTAACAAAAAAACCCCCCTCAAAACACCACTCTAAATTATTTTCCCCGGGTGCCCGAGTTACCCGGTTGTCTCCAGCACGGGGGAGCCGGGCCACAGCCTGCGCCCCGGGCCCTGCGGCTTGAGGGAGTTCTGCTCATTTGCATTTTAATTTCCAGGTGCATTTGCTTTCCAAACCTCTTAAGCCCTCTCAGAATAAATTTTCTGAACTCTTAACGGTAGATTTTTGTAGTGTTTCTCTTGAGAGATATTTCATTTTGCTCGTTTTTGAGAAGATGAAGCTCGCTCATTTAAAAAGTTGCAGTGGGACACAGCCCTGTTTGGCAGGGGTAACTGTGCTCCCTCCACACTCCCGCAGCTTTCTGTCAGTTTCTGGAGGTCTTGTACTACCTTTTTAGTTTGGTTGTTTGTTTGTTTGGTTGTTTCTTTTAAGAAAGAGATTAACATTTTCTGACAAGGGCAGGTGTGTGCTTTTCTTGAGAAGTAATAACTAAAAACCAAGCAGCTAGGGAACCTGTAAATGCAGAAAGACTGTGTGGATGTGAGCAGTGTATTTTTATTTTTGAGTGCAGTATCTATTTACTGAAGTCTTAACACTTAATGTATTAAATTCTCTCAGGCACCATCTAATATAAAAGCTTGTTGAAATTAGGGTTTGGCCACAACAACTGCAAATCATTACAAACATCACCCAAAGAGGAAAAAACCACAGCAAATGTTATCTATGTTTTCCAAGATTGCTTAGAAACAGAGTAGGAAAATCAGCTTCATTGCCTTTTCTTGTTTTGTGTATAAGATTTTGTCTTACAGGTTTATTTATTTTGATATTCTCTAAGCAAAGGAATGTGTTAAAAGGCAGGATGAAATAAAATCCTAAAAACAGGTTTCTAACACAATTGCTATTTTAATGGGCAATTTTACAAGGGTGGATTTAGTTTCAGTAATAGTTCTAAGAAGAGTTTTAAGGAGACATCAAAGTGTCTGAAATCTTTGTAACAGAGCTAGCCTCAAAGATCAGAGGGGAAAAAAAGTATTTGAAAAGTGCTTCTTTTGAATTGGGCGGGATTATATATAAAACTACTTTAACCTGTTTCTTTGTCTTCTAAAATGTTGGCCACACTTGATAGTCTTGCTTTAAGGTGGTTTTTATGGAGTAAACCCTGTATTGTGTTTTGTGCTAGATCATAGACATTTTGAATCCAGTCTTCTACCTGAAATGTGATGTTTTTCAACTCTGTAATTCTTCTAGAATTTTCTTACTGTAAATGGTTACACGTGTCAATAGAAAGGAATTTTGCTCAGAAGTCTTTTATAGACCTATATCTTTATGGTTGCCATTTTTTTTTCCTTCTGGTATGTTGTTTGTTTATAAGCCTACCCTTTAATGTACTAATGTACTTGCAATGTTGCCAGAACTAACCTTGACTGTGGCCTGACTTTGTACACTTTTCTACAAAAAGGCCTCGTGGTTTTGTTTTTTTTTTCTGTGATGAGAATTGAGAGGAGTCCCCAGGCTGCCTCAGTATCTGCCTTCACCTCTCTTCTTACAGGGTTGTTGTTGTTGTTGGTTTGTTTTTGGTTTTGTTTTTTTTGGGGTTTTTTTTTGTTTTTTTTTTTTTGGTTTTTTTTTTTTTTTTGTTTGTTTGTTTTTTGTTTTGTTTTGTTTGTTTTTTTTCTCCCTCCCTTACTGTCTATTAGACAACAGCCAGGCTGCTTTTTTGGTTTTTTTTTGTTTTTTTTTCCTCCCTTACTGTCTATTAGGCAACAGCCGGGCTGTGACTGTGCTGAGTCCACCTTCCTCCCACAGCATGGGCTGTCTGGCTTCATTGGCCTTAACCATCATGTGTTTCACAGTTCGATTAGAAGGCTTTGTACGTAGGCACCATTTCATTTTGTTTCTTGGTGCAGTTAGTTTTTAGGGCCATAGTAACAGTAATACAGAAAATAAATAACAGTACGATAATGTGGTCCAGTGAGCACTCTACAAATTTCAATCAAGTAATCAGTCATCAAATGTGGGAAATCTGAATGTAGTCTCATCTTAACATGTCTCTTTTTTTTAGTAAATTCATTGAGAAGATTAATAGATTTATTCCAGTGTCCTTTTTTGATTTAAAAAAATAATAGTGAAATGCTGAAAACAGCATTGACTATCATATAAGTATTTCCTGCAGCTGTGTTTGGAGTTGAAATCAGAACTAGTGGGAGGCTTTTATTTTTTAGAATTACGTCCTTCAGAAAGAAAAGAGCCTTTGTTTCATTATGATTCTGTTAAGCTGGAAATTTCACATTATGAAGTGGACACTATCTATGTTTTCAAGCTGTTAAGCAAGCAATTCTGGAATGTAAGATTTTTAAAAATTATTTTTGTGTTTGTACATAGGTGAGAAGAAAGTTGTATGCATGAGAATAATGTCAGGTAGAGATGGAACCTCGAGTTAGGAATCTTTTTATTATCATATTTATATTTACTTCTATAGCATTGAAACATAAGCAACTCCTTTACAAAAATCTGTTAAGTACAAAAGGATGCCATGTTATTTATACTATTTCTACTTTAGGTTTGCATTATACAGCAAATTAAGGTCAGCATACAGCATTTTAGCATGGATAAAAGCACAAATTGAGGATATAGCTGTCTGGTTACAGTCCTGTAACGTACTTTCAAGCTCTTTCATAGAGGTCTAGATAAAGTGGGAACTTAACGTTGGAAGTGCTGAAGAAGTTTGTTAGTAATAGCATGGTCACAAGGAAACCAGCGGTCTGTTGTGGCAAGGACTGCTTGTCCTGTCTGTTTTCCTGTCCATGTCTCAGTGACTCTAAGGCAAGACATAGTTTTACAGAACTGATCTAGATCTCTGTTCCAGTTCCTGCCCTGGACTGGTTTTTGTGTCTTGGCATTTAAAGAAGCTGCACGGAATCTCCCCCTGCAGTTGTTGTTTGAAGGCCGTGAGTCTAAACGTGGATTTTGTAAGCAGAGTGTGTTCTACAGACTTAGTTTTATTGCTAGACTGTAATATTTCTTTTGATAGTTATTAAAATCCATGAAAAAGACTGTACTTCAGTTACACCGGGAGAACAGATTTCTTTCCTCACTGATAGTGGAAAATGTTCCAGTAGCTCTTGATTGAATGTCAAAGTTAATTGTAGTGTTTGTGTTAGAGTATCATATCTTGGCCTCAGAGAAGAATGTAGTTCTGTTTGTGTTTCTATTTATTTTTGCAATCAGCAGTAATTATTTTTATTTGCAGTTATATGTAGTAAAAAATGTGTATGTTCAATGCAGTATCAACTGAGTCTGCTGCCTGTAAGAATTACAGCTTTTGAGAATGGGAAGTACGTTTAAAATGTTGAAACTTTAACGAAAAGTATCCCATGAAGGATGAATGTTATTCTTAGCATGACAGTCTTCATTTAAAAAGATTGATAATGCTCGCAACTACCTCCAGCAGATATTGTTTTTAAACCCAAATTCTGTAGTAATAAGTACGGAGTAATTACTCTCTGGAGTAGAAGACAGTCCTTGTTCTGAAGGGATTCCAGTGTAAGTGGCTGTTCTTTGTGGAACTTCTCAGATTAATAAAAAGATACAGAACTGGATATGTGCTTTATGGATACTGTATGTAGGCAGTATATGTATGTAGTAAAAGTATGGTGAAATCATCCTTTTCCTACTGCTGATATTTTGCGATCTTTTTTTTTTTCCATTTCAAAACTTTATACCCAGCGCTGATGATATTCATTTTTAAGTAGCTGGGCAGAAGTCATAAGGGGCTAAAATGTTATCAGTAATTGCAACTATTTTCTTTTTCTTACAGTGGTGGGAAGGACAGCTGTTACAATATGATGCAGTGTGTTGCTGCTGGGCATCAGATTGTTGCTCTAGCCAATTTAAGACCTGCAGAAAACACAGGTATGAAAGCCACATTTCTTATAGGATAATTTTATATATATATATATATATTAGAAACAATGAAGGCACAGCTGTGCCTGAATGAAGTTCCTTTATGTATTTTTATATAGTTTTGTACACTGAAGGGCAATCTAGAAAACTTAAAAGAAGTAGAAAAAAAAATGCTATGGAAACGTATTAAATGTATTTTTCCTCAAAGGGGGGAAAAAAAAGCAGTCAAAGATGAAGAGCAGTAAAAGAAAGGCTTACACAATTTGAAAAAGGGAGAATACAAATATTCCTGGTAAACAAAAGAGATTGTGTGAGTTCAGTAGTACAAATAGAAAAAATGTTAGAGGAGTAAAAGGTGGTATTTCTGGAAATGCTTTAAACTACCATAAACCATTCGAGGTGCCAAAAAATATGCAGTTTTGGAGCTGTTTATTCATTTTTAGCCTTGTGTATTGTCCTCCATTATTCTATCCCAGCATTTGTGAACTGAATTGAGGAACTGATCTCGGTTGGAATTCACCTTGTTGTGCTTCTTTTTCCTTCCTTTTAGCTTGGACCAGTTTTCTGATTGGTTCCTCATAGGCTGCACCTAGACTTATTTCCGTGAAAGAGAATGGGAGAGTCTGTGGTGGACTAGAGCATAAAATGAACTTCAAGTGCGACTTGAAAAGGAAGTCAGTTGTTTCCCAGTTGGAAGGGGAAAATGTTAAAAGTATGTGAACATAGGTTAACTGTTCAACATATGTTAAACAATTAAGGATGATATGTGGTTAGTGTATAGTAGGAAGATACACAGAAAGTGAAGGAGAAAGGGAGCTGCCATCACTAATGAGTCATGGACGGAACTGGAAAATGCTAGGGAGTGCAGGAACAAGTTATTTTCTGGGTATGCAGAGCATGATCATCTCTGATCTTATTGAAATATGTTGTCTTTAAACAAATTTGTCCACATCACAACTGAAGAATATTGTCATTAAAATCATAAAATGCTCTTCTTAAATGTGTAGTTGGAAATTTTGTGGAAGTTAATTGAGGTGCTTCAGGCAATAGCGGATTCTATGCCATTCTTTTTGTTTTATTTCTTACCACTGTTGCCTGGAGAGTCTCCATTAATAAAGAAACTGTGTATTCTGAACTGAATATCAATTTAAAGACCTTGTCATATTCATGGATGTTGAAAAACATTGAGTTTTCTTTTAAATCAGCTCTTCTGGGCTAGGTTGGTTAGTTGTGATTATGGGTTTGGATTTGCCTATTTTGAGCAAAAATGTATCTGTTTTATGGGATCAAATGTGGTGTGACCTAATTGTTACATCACAAATTAGTTATCGATAATATTACAGACCTTTCTCTTTGCAAGATGTGTTACATAGGTATGCAGGAGAGGTGCTTCATGTGTCTGTGTAAATTAAGAGAGGTTCCAGTATTACAAATTAGCATTAAAATAGTGAACTGTACTAGCTTTTAGTAATAAAAGTGGAGATTTCACCAGTAGTGATGTATTACTTTATCAATCTGTTTAAAAAAAATCTGAAAGATTTTATGTCTAAATGGTTTATTATATAGTTTGAGATTTAATTCTAATCCTTGATGCCTGCTTTTTAGCTGTTTTTTTCATTTATGCTAGCAATAAACTGCTTGTAAGAAAATTCAGTTAAATTTTTCTCCTGGTTAAGGAAATAGCAACAAAGAGTTGATTTCATTTTGAGCTTAATTTTTAAATTAAGTGAAGGTAGGTAGAAAACGCCTGGATATTATAACATATTTCCTTTTCTTTTTGTATATTAAGCAATATCAAAAACATTGTAGTCATCTACTTTTATTCTACTTAAAGCAGAAATAATCTCATCTTCTTTCTTGATGACCATAATAACAATTGTAGCAGTAAACTTTTTGGAAATTTGGAAAGTGCATTCCAAATTTCTTGCTCCGAGTATGTTGAAATGTGTCTGGGTTTGTGCCTTTGAACTGTGTTCCTATTAAAATTACCATATAAATAGGAGCAGAGTTGGACTGTTATGAGATTTTTGGATGAAGCAGGGAGGAATACTAAAGAAGAAATAGACAGCACAATTTCCAAATAGGCAACATGTTTGTGACAGATGTCTTCCTCTCCATACGTCTGTTGGGTAGAGAAATCTATTTTTTGTTTCTTTCCACATTTATTGAGGTATTGTCACCAAACATCTATTTGTGAACTGAAAAATATTAACATTCAGATTTTCTCAGTGCTTTGTAGTTTTGTGGTTGTCTGTAGTTGTTGAAATAATGTACCTAATATGATTGTTTTTTAATTGTGGCAGGGCAGACTGATGAATTGGACAGCTATATGTACCAGACAGTAGGACACCATGCAATTGATCTATATGCTGATGCACTGGATTTGCCACTCTATCGTGGTTTCATAAAGGGTACCAGTATAAATACTGGAAGAGTGTATACTATGTGTGAGGAAGATGAGGTTGAAGACCTTTACCACCTCATGAAACTTGTTAAGGTATGCTGAATGAAAGTAATTCAATAATTGGGGACAACTATATTTCGTAGCTCATTTATGAAATTACGTAAATGTTCCACTTAGGTATTTAAGGAAAACTTTCAGAAAAATATTGAACACTTTTCCAAGTTTTATTTCTGTTTCTTTGTTCTTCCTTCCACTGTAAATATATATCATAACTTCATTCCTTTTTCCCCAATGTAAATCATATTTATTGGTCCCCGCTTCAAGCCCAAACCTTGTTCCTATTTAATAAAAACACTTGCAACAGGTGCTCAGTATATACCACAAAAACATCATTGTGAAAATTATCTGTAGATAGAATGCTTATGTAGTTTCATATTTAAAATAATTCATTTTTTGCTTCCTGGAATGAGAGGTCTTTCTGGGTTTTGTGCATTTATCAATGTATCAAAACTAATGTCTAGACATTTCCATTTGTGTACACTTATGCTCTCTAAACCAGAATCTGTTACTTATCTGTATGTTGCAGATCATTCACAAAGTGTTACAGAGTATTTTACAATGATAGTTTTGATTCTGGTAGCCCTGTAGCTATATTCTAATGTATCACATAATAGCAGTAACATATATCGATCCTTTTTAGCTGTAAAACCAATTAAAGGGAGCTAATGAGTGTATTTCCTAGCACTTGAAACTTATTCTTAGTTCTTTTCCAAAATGTTTCATGTAGTACTTTATTTTCCACTGAAATTAAATCAGATCTTATTGAAATAAATAGAAAACCTCCCATTGACTCCAGAGGTTTTACACAAAGTTTGAGTGAACATGCTATGTCTGTTCCCATTAATTATGTTGATGACTTCAGTGCACAGAACTAAAACCATACAATGTTCAGAAAAACATATTAATTGATATTTTTTTAAAAGTAAATACACATTTAATTTTATTGATCAAATGGGTAGACTACTTTCTGAAACTTTAGCTAAAGATATCTGTAGTCTTCAGTTCAGGTACTGAACATTTTCTAGCCCTCTTTCCTCCATTAAAATGGGAATTGAGATTCACGAACCTAAAAGCTTCAGGCGTATTCTTTCTTCAGCTTAAAAAAACTTAACTTGCAGATGAGACCTAAGAATGTGGTTTGAGTGCAGAGTGCTTTCTGAACTGTGTTGGAGTCAAATGTTACATCTTCTAGACATTTTTGTCAGGAAAATAATTTTCCTTTAAAGTCAAATAGAGATCATACACCTGTGTTGGAGTATGAGACTGAAACAGGAGAACAGTGCATGTAGGCTGTATGATGTGAATCTGTGCCAGGGGAGGTTTAGATTAGATATTAGGAAAAATTTCTTCACTGAAAAGGTTGTCAAGCATTGGAACAGGCTGCCCAGGGAAGCGGTTAAGTCATTATCCCTGGAGGTATTTAAGAGACATGTAGACATGGCATTTAGGGACCTGGTTCAGTGGTGGAACTGGCAGTGTTAGGTTTGTGATTGGACTTGATGATCTTAAGGGTCTTTTCCAACCTAAATGATTCTCTGATTCTATGATTATGCTCTAGAGTGCTTCACAGAGGTTTTAAATGGAATGTGCATATCATGCAGTACAGGAATTGAGAGAAATATGGTACAGCAGCTTTAAATTATTTTTGAACCATGATAGCATTAGAAATTAGAAGGACTAGTATATGCTGTCTCTTAAAGCTGCATACTAACACCTTTCTGCCATTTTTTATTATCTGTAAGATAATAAATTTCTCATCAATGTAATTAAAAATGGGCAGTTTAGTGGCAATTAAGATGATACTTCCTTTTCGATTCTTGCTGTCTTTGGAGAAATGGATGCCTGACATAAATTAATGCTAATGTTAAACCTTGACAACTTTTGCTTTGGAAGTTTTTACATTATAATTATAACTATAGTTGAAAGAGATGTTATCAAGAACTAAAAAACTATTTGCTTCTTGTATAGAAATATTAATTCTACTTTATGATATTTTAAAGACATAAATATTAACAGTATGCTGCCTTTATGTTAGACTTTGGATAACCATATCTTTACAGTCAGACCTATCTGAAATTCTGATGCAAAAGTTTCACTAGGAGTCTTGCGTATTCTGATGAATAATTGCAAAATTGTCAGGGTGACATAAAATACAGCAGCTGTAAGTCTTTGGGTTTTTTGGTTTTAAGAAAAAGACATGAACATTTTTCTTTTGTGTGTTAGCAGTAGCTTTGAAAATTTTTTCACATTGTTTTATAACTGCAGTTTTGTAGCTTTACTATGTAAGTCTTAATCACTGAGGATTTTGCTTTAGGATTTTTTTCCCACAGATGCTAATAGTTTCAAACAGAGAGCTAAATTTGCTTTCTGTTGAAGGGAGGGAAGGAATTCTGCGGAAGCCTTGTCAAAATGCATCCTTAAGCGGACATAATTTCAAAACACTGGTCAACCTAACATAGCTCTGTTTTTCTGTCAAATGTTTTGGGACCAAGAATACAGGAAAGGTGTGTCTAGATCAAAATCACACAGTATGCCTCGCTTTCTGTTTGTAAAGAATTCTTGTGTTCCAGATACTTCTTTAGTGAAAAGTTAAAACCAAACACATTTGAAAAAACAGTATGAATTCAAAAGTGTTTGATGTTTTGAAAAATAATGCTATGAGAAAGAAGATTTATAAAAAGTTAAATATTCCCCTGCAGTGTCAGGAAACCCAGGATGCCAGTCCTGTTCTAGTTCACGGGTCTCAAAAGTGATAGTGACTGCCAATGATTGTAAACCTGCTACTTTTATTGTCACAAACCCAGACGATTGATAGGTATGAAGGAAATTTATTTTTTAGTTGCCTAATGCCCTGTTTTAGACTATGCATTCAGTATATAGTCTAAAACATATCAGAGTATTTATATGATGTCTAAATGTATCTTACTGTGCAGTCCTCACCTGACAGTAGAATATTTACTTTGTGAGACATGTAAATCTTGAACTCTAAGGAATAATTTAATCTGCTCTCCACGATACTGAATAGGGATTGCCAATACCCTTGTCTATCTGTGTTTGTCGCTTGGCGTATTGGAGATTTTTCTAGGAAAGCATGTAAGCACTAGGGTTTCTCAGTTATCTGAATTATCCTTCAGGGTTTTATCATGGCACTGTGTTTGAAACCAGGAAACGTGTGTGAAAACTGTGTTTATTTCCCTGTAGTGATTGGAAAGACTGGAGCATGGAGGTTCTTTTATGAAACTTTCCTACAACATATGTCTCAATATAGCCATATGTAACTGCTTTCTCCACTTTTCAATGTAATTACGATCTTGTCCAAATAATACATTGGTGTTTTATGCAAGCACATACAGAAGTGGTGTTATATGGGTTGAATTTTGGGTTGTTTTCTGTATTATGGAACTAGGCTAAACTTTGGTTTAAGGCAGTGGTTGTAGCAGCTTCCAGACGTACAAACCAATGCAAGATAATTTATTTCAGTTCTGGGTTTCAGTAGACAGTTCTGTCCAAGTTTCTTGCGTTATATCCTTTGCTCTGTGAAGGCTTTGCCTTTATTTGGTAAGTTTCCACTGCTGGAGTAGTTTGTAAAATTCTTGAATTTGTTAAAAACTTTCTTTTCTGCTAGCATTTTTTCATCTTTTTCAATAACATTTTTCGTAAGTTGAGTTTTTAAAAATTATTTCAAAAATTTATTGTTTTTACAGTTTCTTTGTAATATATTTCCCCATGTTTATTATAAAGCATGCAAGTTGATGTTCAGTGGATTTTCAGTTTTAGCATGTTATTTCTGTCAGAGGTCTTTTTGTGGTGCACTTTGTTGTTTCAGAACATGCAAACTTACAGAAAACCAGAGAATACACTTGAAAGAAATTAATGTATTGGATCTCAGGACTGAAGGATTATTAATTATTGTATCACCCACTGATCATCAAAAATAAGAATTGATATTTAATATATTGGATGTGTGAAATATTTTGAATAGCAATACCCTTTGCTTGTGGCACTGTTTCATTTTGTCAGTAATGTGGAAGGGGAAAGAAAGAAAATTTATTTTCTGAAATATTGTCACATTTTAGAGCAATGATCTTGTAACTCGGTCACTAAGAATAAGTAACATGGTTTTTAGTTTCAGCAACAGTGAGCCTATTAATACAGTGTGAATCCTGTATTTAGTAGTTATTTTTTAAGGACAACGTCATGATTTTTGAAATGGACCCAGACTGATGTTTACTGAATACAGAAAGTATTCCTGTCTGAGAGTTAAAAATATAAAAGCTGTGTAATTTTAGATGTTATTTAAGATTATCTTTTGTCTTAGACAAAGTACTTTGGCTGTGCAGTTTCAGGTGGAATAGAGGTAGCTTAGGTCCTATCACTATTCAGTGAAACTCCCTAAAACTTGGAGTTTTTCAGGAAACAGTTCTTCAGGGTTTGAGATGAATGGAAGAAGTACAAGCTTATTATGTGGCCTTTGGATAGGGATTAATTCCCTCACAGAAGATAAAGCTTTCAATTTCTTGTTATTGCTTGTAGTCTTCCATGCTAAGGAAACAGTCTTCCTTTCACCCTTCTCCAGAATTTAGCTGCTGTGGCCAATGGGTAAAATGAGTTCTTGGATTCAGTCTGACGACTGACTTTCTGTGGCTTTTGTACAGCCAAACGTCTAGATGCTCCCATCAGGAAAAATACATGAGTAAATGTAACATAGTATTCTACTGGAGGCATTGCTTCACTCTCTTCAATGTTATAAAGTGTGTTTAAAAGAAAAAGTATTTAGAAATAGTAGTTTGGCTGTTAGGTGTCCATTTTAATCAGCTCTCAGTAGTCCCTGTGACTTCAGTGCTAACATTTACATGATAAGGGCTAGTAACGTACCATTGACTCATACAAATAAGGTTTGCAGATTTTCGTAGGAGTCTTAAAGATCTAAATATTATGAGTTATGGAATCCTGAATGACTTCCAAGAATCTGTAATCAGAGGATCTCAGCATGCTGTTCCCAAAACTATTTTTGCTGTTTATAAGTTCAGAAA